CATGTACAGGAAGCACTGTCCTGCGGGATGAAGTAAATACCTTTAATATTATCCGAGACTAAAGAACATCCTTTGAAAAGCTGCTGAGTGGTTCTCATGAAAGGTGGAACCGGGCCTTACCCTTCTCTTCTTTGATAGTGGCATACTGACTGTTTGCCAGGGGACAGGACGACCGGTTACACAGGCCAGTCAGGCTGTACTCATTTCTGCAAAAGCCCTGTGTCTTGGTTCTAGAATACAAGGAACAGCAAGCATTACAAGATGGGTTACCAAGAGGGCAACTAAAGGAATCTTTGTCCAAGCTGCAAATCTAGACTCACCTTATCTTGAAGGAACAAAACTGCTTGTTTCCTAGTGTATCCCAGATAACCTGCAAGACAAAGTATAAGCCCATTTCAACTGCTCTGACCCAGTAAGTGGCATATTAATCCAATAAACAATGCCCTAGGACAGTGCCCTGCTTTATTGAGGAAAGAACTCTGTGGGGAATGAGGAAAAAATGCTTTGTAAAATAGTCTGACTTTTTTTCTTTACACATATAAGATTCTTATAGAAAAAGTAAATACAAATTAGCAATAACCATAACCCATTACCCAGACATTTATTATTTTGTAAATATTTTCAACGTTTTCTGTATGTGTATACATTCCAAGCACTAGTATGCCTATATGTATGTTTTCAACAAAATGAGATCATATTATATATTTTGTAACTTTCCTTTTCTACTGAAAATGTTCACTATCCAGTGTAAAAGGCTACACAGTACTAGACTTTTGGAAATATGTACAATTTTTCATTGAGGGCAGGAAAAATATCCTATTGTTATCCTCTGCTAATGTGTGGTTTTTTGGTTTTGATACTTTTATTTATTTATATTTTTTACTGATTTTTAGAGAGAAAGAGGGAGAGAACATCAATTTGTTTTTCCACTTACTGATACACTCCCTGGTTGATTCTTATATGTGCTCTGACCAGGAATTGAACTGGTAACCTTGGAATATCAGGACGATGCTCTAACCCAGTGGTCGCCAACCGATGGTCCGTGAGTTCCAAAAGGTTGGCGACTGCTGCCACCAACCGAGCTACCTGGCCTGAACTAAGGTGTTCTTTATTCATTCAGCACTTACTGTGTACTAATTTACGTAAGGCACCGACATCCCCAAATCCTGACAAACAGGAGGCACTCAAGTACTTGTTGAATGAAGGAAGGCCTAGTCCTTAAAGGGTGTTATCTATCTAGTTAGGGAGAAAGACACATAGACGAAGCAGCAGTCTAAGTACCAAAGAGGTGTAGGTTGTATGAGAGCCTCTGAGCGAGCTGCCCTGAGGAACTGGGAGAGGCTTTAAAGTAGCTAACGGGAAAAACACAAACATAGAAGAAGGGAGCAAACTTTCTGGAATTTTGTAGGATGCGTTTGGCAGGGGATGGAAGGAAACAGGTTAGAGAAAATGAAACTAGAGAAGTAGCAGCTCCATCAGGCTCGTGGCTTTAAATATCTCTAAATTATGATTCCGAAATTTTTATTTCCTGGTCAAACTTCTCTCCTGAGCACCAGACTCGTATATACACCCAGCTGCTACCTGACATCTCGGCTTGGTGGTCTAAAAGGCATCGTACACATTAACATGTCCACATGGAGCTCTCGATTCCATTCTCTCTCAAAAGAATACTGTGCTCCTCCCCCAGCCTTCCCCTCTCCAGAAATAAAACCACCACTCAAGGGTTGTTCAAATCAAAATATCCTTGATCTCTTTTCTTTTTCATTTAACCCATCACCAAGTCTTTTCTATTAAACCTCACAATTATCCATTTCTTTTCAGATCCGCCATGACTACCTTAATTGAAGCTTCCTTCATGATATTCTAGTCTCCTTGCTTCCATCCTTTCTCTCCTTCAAAAACCTTTCACACAACTAGAGAACTTCACACAATTGTAAACCAGATGCCATTTCCCATGAAAACCCCTAAGAACAGTTCTTACAAGCCTTCACATGCTCTTGGTGCCCTTGAATATACTCCTTCTCTCTTACCTCCAGATGTTTGTACTTGGCGCTCCCACTGCCTGATTGACTGCTTTTAGCTCAGCCCCTCCGTGGCGGGCCATTCTCATCCTCTAGATCTCAGCTCAAAGGTCTTCTATTCAGGGACACCTTCCCTATCTGGGGTGGTCTCTCCCAACTGCTCTCTACGGCATCACCTCTGGTCTTTTAAAGCGCTGTGAGGCCCCGCAATGGTCCTTGTTTGTTCACTCGTCTCCCCGACAGAGGGCCCCGGGGAAGCAGGTCGTCTGCCTGGCGGATTAACACCCATACCTCTAGGAATGACCGCCATCCTGGCACACCGCAAGCGCGCAGGTAGTTCCCCTACACGTTACTCAAGGAATGAATCTAGGATGCTTCCAAAACCATAACTTGGGCAGGCAGTGGGACACATGTAACGAAAAACCCACACCCAGCAAAAGTAGACTGAAAAGTAGGAAAGTAGGATGCACATGCATGAAAAGGATCCTTAAAGTGGATGCCGAGATTTCGCCGTATCGTCCCTCCAACCCCCACCCGCCCCCCAAGTCCCCCAAGCCCGTCATTGCTGGGCACAGGGGCTGCAACCGCCGACCATTTAGACTGAGTGGGGGTGTTCTGGCCCCCTAACCCCGCTGGGGCCACGGGCTGGAGGTCCAGGGCAGACACGTGAGAGCCCCACGCCCGGAAACCGGAAGCCTCGCTTCCGAAGCCACACGAGACAGGGGGCGAGCCGAGTATGCGCCTCTGAGTCGAGACACGCAGACACCCTGCGAGACACCCAGACACCCTGCGTAAACCCCGGGTGGCGGAGCACAGGAGACTCACATCATCGGACTGCATAGTGCCGGCACTTCAGCGTGCGGAGCTGGCCAGATCCCCGGAAGCAACCATGCTTCTTCCGGCGACTCACTTCCGGAACGCCTTAGTCTCACGTACCGCGAGAACTCCGCGGTCTCAGACTGGCTCATAGCGCCGCCTGGCGGTGGGACGTGCGCGCGCCATGCCAAAAATTACTCCCGGGTGCCGGGCCCTGCAGGCGGGTCAGGGCGACTTTGCTTTCACTCCTTCGCCCAGTGAGTGGGTCTCTAAGTCGGTCCTGGTAACTAGAGACCCTCGCGCCCGCAGACACTTGTTTGGTGGGCATGGGGTCCAGGTTTTAGAAATTCAAACATATTTTCGAAGGACTAACAAACTTTTTTCAGCTTTATATTTTGACGGAGACAGGGAGGGTAAACATCTTTACTAGTTCATATCGTTTTTCAAAAGAAAGGCCATTTTAATACCAAAAGAGTAAGAGGGGCACAATCTCAGAATAAGCATGGGCCCCGGCTTTGCATGTCACATACAGCAGTTCAGTGTGTAGTAAGTGATTGTGCTGCTGGCAGGTGGAACCTCTGAATTAGGACCACCCTGCTAGACAGCATGGTTTCAACACGGGTTTTTGGAGCCCAACGTAGGTTATAAAAACCAACTGGCATTAACGAAATATCTTTGGGCAAGTCACTTAACCTTTATCAAACTTTTTCATGTGCATAATGGGGCGATGTGTTAAATCCATGGTTTACATTGATTCATTAAAAAAGTTGTGCCTGGCTGGTGTGCTCAGTGATTAAGCTTCGACCAGGAGACCACCGTTGGATTCCTGGTCAGGGCACCTGCCCCGGTTGTGGGGTCGAACCCAGTAGGGGGCGTGCAGGAGGCAGCCAGTCAATGGTTCTCTCTCATCATTATGTTTCTATCACTCTCCCTCTCCCTTCCCCTCTGAAATCAATAAAAATATATTTTCAAAAAAGTTAAGCATCTTTTCAAATACTTATTGGCTCGTCACTTTCCTTCTTTGTGAAGTGCTGTATGTCTTTGGCCCCTTCCTTCCCCCTTCTTTTTTTTTAAAATATTCTTTTTTATTTTTTGAATATATATTTTTTATTGATTTCAGAGAGGAAGGGAAAAAGAAACATCAATGATGAGAGAATCACTGATAGGCTGCCTCCTGCACACCCCCTACTGGGGGGGGGGGGGTCGAGCTGGGCATGTGCCCTTGGCTGATATCAGGCGGATGCTCTATTCACTGAGCCAAACCGGCCTGGGCTCCTTCCCCCTTCTTACTGGATTCTTCTTTTATTGCATTGTAGGACTCCTTGATGTATTTTGGATATGCATTCTTTGGTAGACAAATATGTTGCAAATACCCAACTTATCAATGTTGTCCTTTGTATTTGCGGTTTTCAGGAAGTTGATGCCATGACGATCAACCCATTTTTACAGAGAGGACAATTGAGGAACTTGGCACGAGAGCTCTGTGGGACCAGGGCAGCAGTCACGCTCAGGTTCCTGCCGGTGAGTCCAGCGCTTGCAGTGCCTCCTCGGATGTTGACCCTGGGAGCCTCCCTTGCCCTGAGTCAGTCCCAGCCCTCCCCGGGTCTCGCATTGCTTCCCCAGCATTACTACCTCCTACTAGACCAGGGCAACGTTCACTGGTCACTGTCCTTGGGTTATCTGGATTTGGAACTCAGTAGCTTGAAGTCAGTTTTACTTCCCGAGTAAACAACACCCAGATGATCATCCTACTCCGGCTACCCAACACTGGTCCCTGACTAACGGCGCTCAGGCCTCTGCTCTGCTTAGCAGATTCTGTTTTCCTCCGCAGGTGGCTTTGCATACGCTGCAGTCTTCCTCCAGTTGTAGAAGAAGAAAGTGCCCCGACTTGCTTTAGTACAGCGGTTCTCACCCTGTGGGTCGAGACTCCTTTGGGGGTTGAACGACCCTTTCACAGGGGTCGCCTAAGACCATCGGAAAACATATATAATTACATATTGTTTTTGTGATTAATCACTATGCTTTAATTATGTTCAGTTTGTAACGATGAAAATACACCCTGCATATCAGATATTTACATTACGATTCATAACAGTAGCAACATTACAGTTATGAAGTAGCAACGAAAATAATTTTGATTGGGGGTCACCACAACATGAGGAACTGTATGAAAGGGTCGCGGCATTAGGAAGGTTGAGAACCACTGCTTTAGAAGAAGGTCTCCGGAGCCTCCCAGGAACTCTGGGGAAGAAGGGCTGTGCTGCAGGGCCGGCCTGGAACCGAGGTCCCACTTGCTTTTAAAGAGGAGGCGTCTGTGAAAACCTGGATCCAGGATCACTGGGCCTGACCGCGCCGAGAGGTATCCCGCCTTCCCCAAATCTCCTTTCCGAGTCTTCGCCACAGCTCCAGGGGTGCGAACTGAAAGTGAGAAACCCGGGTGCGCAGCGCAGAGCGAGCCTCCTGCACCGAGAAGAGGTGAGTGTGCGCATCGCTCTGGCTCCGGTGAAAGCCCGGTGGGGGCAGGGTCTTGGTGCCGAGCAACACAGGCCTTTCTGGTGCCCACGGAGGCTGGGGCGCAGCCCGCGGGACTCACGGCAAAAGGAGACCTCTTTGTGCCCAGAGGGAGAGTAAGAGGAAGACGGAGCTGTGTGCTGTTTTTGGAAACCATGGGCGGCGCTTTCCAGGGACACTGCCCGAGATTGAAACCTCTCTGTCTGCCGTGAAAGTGCGGGTGGGAGGCAGGTGACCCGCAGGAGCCCCGCTGGAGCCCAGGGGGGCAAATGGTTCCAACTCCTGGGAAGGAAGGCTTTCTGGTACCTTCCGTCTGCCAGGATCTTCCCAGTCCCACCAACGCCAGAACCTAACTCTGCCAGCGTGTATGATGAATTGCTGCCCCCTCTCCCCAGGTCTTCACTGAGAGTCACTTGTTGCTGGGAGTGTGTGCGGAGGCTGCGATTCCCACTGCCCAGCGGTGCAGAGCACAGTGCATTTAATGGAGAAAGTGCCCAGGGCGAGCCCCCAGCACAGCAGGCTCTGGGTACCGATACCTAAGCCATTTCCCGGGTATTTTTGTATGCAGTTAGTGTCTTCAGAACAGACCTCATTTTGTGTAAGATAGAGAAATCACATTGGTGAGATTTTAAGACAGCTTCTGGGGATCTTTTAATGAGTCTTCAATATATAGCACATACCATGCAAAAGCACTTTTTCTTAACACCGTGGCTTCAACAGGCTGCTCCTTACTCACTGCACCAGCTCCCAAAATAGTTGGGGAGAGTGTTCTATGAGTTGTGGCTTGGATTGTTGATTTCATTTGTGGAATACATTCAGTGCCCTAGGGCTGGGCACAGTTTTGTGTATGGCAAGTTGGTTTTCAGGACCTCATTCCCTAATACGTCCTTCCTTCTCTCAAACTGGGACACCCCCCGGAGCTGTGACCCATCTTGGGCTTGCTAGTGACCTCACACTACAGCTAGGACGTTGTTTCTTCGTGGTCCACCGTGGTCTCTCAGATGGAGGGCTTCAGCTGGTGTCTGGCCACCTGCACTGAATAAGCAGCCCAGGTATTTGCACACCAGAGAGGCAGAGCCACCATCTAGTCAGCACCCTCGCCTCAGTTTTACGACTTTCCCCTCTGTCTGCAAGCCAGAGGCAATGTCTAGCATCAGAGCATCACTCCGGTCCCTTCAATGTCTGAAATTGCTGTAGTAACTCTTCATTTGCTGGCTTCCTGCTAGATGGCAGTGTCTAATAGTGAATTAAATACACCATCTCAACTGTTACCGTTATTATGGCTCATCTTTTATTCTTCAATTTTAAAAAGTAGTATGTTTTCAAGTTTTATCTTACAAGCAGAACATTTCTGAAAAAAATTCAAACTGGTTAAGTTTAGGAAATTAAAAAAAAGTTTGGGAAGCAATATAATATTATTGATATGTAGGCATTTTTAAAACACATTTAAATGCTTCCTAAATTTGAAATCTAAAGAGTTGATTTCAGCAAGAAATGCAATACCTAATTCAATTAACAGCATTCTGCAATGAGCGTTTGTTATAATTCCTGAACATGAGTTTTAAAAATTAAAAACAACTTTTATATACAATGTTTTTTCAGATATTTATTCCTTTGAGAATGCAATTTGTGTGTTCAAAAGTTAATGTTGAATTATTAAAAAGGAGAACGAAGATCAAGTAATCCTAAACTTGTGCTATAGAAGTATTTATTGTTTTATATTTCCAGAAATCTTAGTTTATGTTGACACAAATTGTCTTGGTTGGTGTTTCTTTAATTGATCAATCTTTCTTCCTTGGAGAGTTTTGCTCCTGGACACCATTTATGGGATCAGAGAGCTTAATTTCAGGATGAAACCTGAGATCGTCTGGGCCAGCCCTTTGTCTGTAGGCGTGTGAAGTGTTAGCCTTGTTAGGTCAGTGTTATTTAATCGGGTCCTCATTCATGATTACTTCAACGATCAAAGCAGATAGAGCTTCTGATTCAGATGGGCCAAATAGGACAATTGTAACAGGTAACCATAAGCCCTTATTGGAGAAAGAACAGCAACAAGAAGACCTTCGAAGGACAAAGATGAGAAAGAGCCCTGATCTTGAGGAGCTGGCTCAGTTCTTCCTGATATGGAATCTTCAGTCTGTGCCCCTGTGACCTTTAAAAAACCTAGGCCTCCTGAGTGCTTCTCTTTGGAGCTTTATGTCAGTCATTTTGTTTTGTTGGGGAGTATATTTTTATTTAGTTTCGATATGAAATAGATTCACTAACTGAGAGTGTATTAGCACTACGTGATTTGAGTGCTTTGCTGTGTGTCTAGAATTTAAGACTGGCATCACCTTCAGTTCTGTAATGGAAATGTGAAGGTGTTTGGGCTACAACTTCTGTCCCCCATTAATCACCTGTTTTGTTTGAGTCACCTGGCTGCCAGTACCCCTTTCTCTCCCATTATTCTCTATTTGTCTTGCCTGAAATGTGTACTTGGCTGAAGAGGATGACCTTCCCAGATGGAAATCTGCAACTCAAAACACTGTTTACATAAAAATGAATGCTCAGCAAAATATGAAGTCCATTAAAAAAGAGTGAGGAACACATGAACACAAATAAATGGTGATAAAGAAAATTGGGTGAAAGTGGAAACCGTGGAACCATCATCACACATTTGTCAGGTGCCCAAGGGACAGTTGCAGCACCAAGGAAGTCTGCAAAGGAACAAAGTCGTCTTTTTAATGTTCGACAATTAATCTGATAGGCACCCAATAAAGCAGCTTTAGAAAGTGTCCTAAAATCCCCCAGCTTCCTGCATCTGTCTACTGCTGTAGTAGAAACAAGCACACGAGGATATGGATCTAGATCTCCCAGAATTGGTATTGAGAAAGGAGTAAGGCTTCCCAAAGTGTGCAGCCTTGAAAGTCTTAGAGAATGGCTAGGGTAGTGAAAGAGGTATGGATGTAGGTAGGGACCAGAGCACACAACTGGAAACTACATCCCAAGAATAGCAGGAACAAAGGGCATGTGTGGTGGGGAAAGGAAAGGAAGCTAGAGAAGGGAAGAGGGGTCCAGGTAGTGTTGTTTTCTTTGTTTCAAGCTATAAGGGAAAGTTTATTTAGAAACTTACAGAGGCAAAAGAAGGGGCCCCGGGGGTCTGGGAGAAAGAAAAGTAAAGGTGAGGAGCCTGGGGAAGAGGAGGGGGAAGGGAAAGATCTGCTGGGTGGGGAGCTTGCCAGTGTTATTTCCTAAACTAATGAGATTTATTCAAGATGTATCTTGAAATCTTGGGGAAGCCATTGAAGGATTTTAATCAGAGGAAAGATAGCCAATCTACATTCCAGAAACAACTCCAGCTAAATGGAAAGTGCAAGGGGTCAGACTGGTGGGAACGTCAGTTACCAGGCTTTTGGAGTAACCAAGTAGGAATAAATGAGGAGTGTTAATGATGACAAGTAGAGTTGAAGGGCAGTAGTTACCAAGTGCCTGGAGAATTGTAATAAAGACCCTTAGACCTTTCCATCAAGCCTACCGCATCACCTGTCTTCCCCCGACGGCCACCATCCCGGGGGTGCTCTGAGGATTTATGCATCATAAATGAAAACATATTTGGGAGAGTCAACCCTACTTAAGAAATTATACTTTAGTGTGAATAATTTAAGTCTGGGAGTTAGATACATTCCTTCTAAAGACCACCTGCTAGAACCTTATGCTCAGTTAAGATAGTCTCTTCTTATCCCAATGGATTCAGCAGTAACTAGAGGGGAGCGATCAAAGGAGTCTCCTGAAAGCTCTGCCTCCTGCCTTACCTCTTTCCCCTGCCAGACATAGAAACTGCCAGGGCAGGAAAGCCCTTTGCATCGCCTGGGGGTGGTTTCTCATCTTAACACCCAGGGGTGTAGGATCATCTCTCAGTCCCATTCTGAGACCCTTAACCTACACCTTGGACTAGCCCACATGGCTGAAACGTGAAACTGGCATCCTCAGGTTGCTAATTCACTTTAAGATATTCAGTCTCTTCTGTACATTTTAACTCAAAATAAAGTGGAAAAATGTAGAATTATTTTAGGGTGAAAGTGTTGCTGGTTTGGATGGAATAGCACTTGTAAGATAGGAGTAGCCACACTCAGCTCCAGATCCCTCTCTGGGCAGCAGATGGGCAGACCCAGGCAGTGCACACTAGCTGCACACATAGTGCATGGCAGGAGCTTAGCTCCAGGTCAAGAGGGTTGGTGAGAACCATTAACATGTCTACCATGGGTGGCTGTCTGAGCAAACACACATCGTTCCATCTGGAAAGGAGTGCTCCGGGGCACCCTCTTGGAGGACTCAGATTCACCCCGCGTGCAGTGAGCAGACAGAAGGGAGCTCTCCTCTCGGGGTCCCATTGCATTGGAGCTTGCTGGCCTTCACGGTGCTCTCTGCAAGCCCATCTGTCTCACCAGTTGGGGGATTGCTGACTTGATGACAAGCTCCTGGGGAATTAATACCATATATTAGATTAATATGCCTCAAGGCCTGGTTCATGGCTGCATGCTGTCAATCATAATTCCATCTACACTAGCTGGCTCTGTTCTTTAGAAGTGGGTATTTAACCACAGCTTGGTCCCTGAGACCCCCACTGTATTTTCGGCTTTGGGTATATAACCGCAATTGAGGGTCTTTGGATGGAAGGGACTTTGTAACTTTAAATTCTTCTGTCATAGTTCATACAGCCATGTAAAGACGTTAGAAGCCCCTAGGCTAGGCCTGAGCTGTGTGGTAGCTGTAAAAATATCCCAAGCTACGTCCTCACATTTTCTCTCCATCTTTTGTTTTCCCGTATTCCTGACTCTTGTGTACTCTTAACAGACTGACACTGTTTTTCCTCTTTCTTTTCCACTGATCTCGCAATCAGGTGACCTGATTTCTAGACCCATTTCAACCTTTAAAAGCTATGATCTTGGTCAAATCACTTAAACTCGCCAAGACTTGGTGTCCTTGTTTGTGGGAACTGAGAATATACCCACCTTGCCTGCTTTATAAGATGGTGATCAGTAAGGTTGAGGGGAGTGATATATCTAAAAATGTTTAAAAAATGATATAGTTTTATACCCACTTATGGTGGTAATGTTATTTCATTACCTAATCTAGGTTACATTAATTGTGGCTATAATAAGCTGCTTTTGCATAAAAAATGATAATTTGATATTTCTGCTATGCAAGGGAAATAATGATAGTTAGCTATGAAGAAACAGAGGCTTAGAAAGATTTAGTGACTTGTCCAAATTTATATTATGTAAAATGACAGAGCCAGGATTGGAACCCAAAGGCTAGCTCCATGTTCTATGTAGTTAATAGCTAGTAAGGCCCACTGAGTAGAAGGAGAGGTGCTTTTCAGGTTCTTACAGATTTTTATTACTTTTTTCTTTGGTATGCCAACTGACAGAGCTATTCTACGTAGGTTTTTTGTTTGGCTTCTGGAATTCAACCTTCTAGACCAAAGTTTTTACCTGAATTCTACATCATTTTTAGGTTCCTAATTATATGTTTAATTTTATAGCTGAGAAATATACAATCAAACCTACCTTTTTTTTTTTTTTTTTTTCGTTGCTACTTCATAATTATAATGTTGCTACTGTTAAGAATCGTAATGTAAATATCTGATATGCAGATGGTCTTAGGCGATCCCTGTGAAAGGGTCGTTCGACCGCCAGAGGGGTCGCGACCCACAGGTTGAGAACCACTGGTCTAGAGGAAGAGCGATCCTTGCTCTGTTCTGAACTCCACAGTGTCACTTGTCCAAGGCATTTGACTTATAGTACCCTGGGCATAAAAGGTGTTCTGTGGGACTTAGTTCATTTCTAAAACTTTTGAAAATATTATCCATTTCAGATAGATGAAAATCTTATTTCAGAACTTCCAGAGAATCACATTGCCCACATAACCCACTGCTTTATTACATATGCCATTAAAGATGAAACACATAAATCAATAATCATTATTCTTTATGTTGTGGCTGAAGTTATTTTCCTTGGGAGGAGTTGGGGGCCAATGGATCATTATCTATTTTTGATCAAAGCCTGAACTTTTGTTTATTTTTTCTTCCTAATTTTTACGGGAGTGGGTGGATAGTCCTTAGGACTGATAATTTCGACTCCACTTCTCTACTCCTTTGAAACCTAGATAGAAGGAAAGGATTACATGTAAATGGCTTCTGGAATTCAACCTTCTGGAGGCAGAGAAAATGAAGTGGAAACAGAATTTCAGACTCAAGACCTGGTTGTAGGCCTGTCACTGTGCTCCAATGGGCTATATAACCATGAGCAAGTCACTTCACCTCTCTGGTTTTGGTCTCCTTAACTATGAGTGAGGACTTCATGATTTCAAAGGTTCTTTTTAAAGTTTTGGGTTTTTACATGATAACCATGAAAGACATTTATTAAGTCTGCACTATGGCTAAAAGATGAATTGTTTATTACAGAGTTTTTTTGATGCCTTCTGGTCTGAAGAATCTCCAGCTGCTCTGATGATAGCTTAAGAAGACTGCATGCTGTTCCCTCTCCATGCCAAGCCAGGCCCACTCGGAACCTCTGATCTCAGTCCGTCATGGAGACCAGGTCCCAGCAGGAAAAAGAATGGCAGTGGAGGAAATGGACACCCAGATGGTTCCTCCACATGAAATGGTCTCAGGCTGTGGGCCGACGAGAGAACACCTGGTAACCAGGCTCGCCCTCTGTCAGTCCACCCAGGGCAGGGCAGCATGGTGCGGATTCAGAGGAGGAAGCTTTTGGCATCTTGCCTGTGCATCACAGCGACCATCTTTCTGCTTGTCACACTCCAGGTACCCAGAATTTGGGTTGTGCAGTGTTGATTCCTGGACCTTCGCCACCATTCCTGCCCGACCCTGTTCTCTCCAAGAACTTTACTTTTTGCTTTATCTCTCAGGATCAGGGTTTCCTGTCTAAGGCACTGGAAATTCTTCTTTAACCGATGAAAGTGAGATTTAGTGAGTGGATGTGTCAGGTGGAAACAAAATCAGTGACTAGAGATCAGTGTGTGACTGTTGTAGGGTATAGTTTTAGAGGAAAGTAGAGCTCAGTCTGTCTTATCGGGTCAAATTGGATGGCTTTCTCAAAGTCCCCTATTGTGATCACGTCTGAAAGATAGCATTTTTGAGGAATCGGTGGCTATTTTGAGAACAAGATAGCTGTTCTGCAGAACACAGACATCTGCATCAATAACTCTGTCATTCTTGATGTATTTACCAGACCAAAGATTTTCTTTTTTTTTTTTTAATTTTTTTTTTTTTAAATTTTATTTTTTATTACAAAGGGTATTACATATGTGTCCATTTTTTTCCCCGCCCTAGACAGTCCCCTAGCCTCCCCTATTCCCCAGTGTCTTATGTCCATTGGTTAT